CTTCAGAGTTCGACCGACGATTTAACGATTTTGAAAGCTTTCGACCTGATATTTCTTTATTCAGTAATCCTATACATTGTGATATAGAATCTCAGCCAGGTCATCTGCAATTAGAGCTTTGTGAACTTCAATGTGACCCATCCTAAAACACATCTCAGGTTACTGGAACTGACTTTTGGAAACTGCTTTCACCAGAATGTTACCCACTGTTACGAAATTGGGCTCTCAAACTTTGCTCTGTTTTTGCAAGTATTTACATATGCGAAACAGCGTTTTCATCACTGAAGCATGTAAGATCTAAGAACAGGAACAGACTTTCAGATGTCGTGTTATCACATATTCTTCGAGTGGCAACCTCACAATTAGAAGTGGATTTTATATCATTGGTTTCCAGTTTTATGAAACCACAGTGCTCTCATTAAAACAGTGTGTATATGAGGATTTAGATATAATCATTAGACCATAAAAACTATGATTGAAAGTCTTTTGTGCTCATCCCTGCTGAAAGAGGAATTTGTGCTGTTTTATGGTAAGTACTTGCAAATTTCAAGGCATTTTATTTTTCTTTCTTAAATTATAAATGCATTTTTCCACGGCATATAAAAAACTAAACATAAGGCATGATCAGGCCAGTGTTTCTTTAAGAAAAAATGCTCTGGGGGTAGAAGTGATAGAAGGCAATAAAATCGATTGGTGAAATTTTCAATATCGGCTTAATATTATTGGTGCAACGTAAAATTTTAATACATAGGTTTAAATGCACTTGTTTTTACACGGGTTGTGATTGTTTCAGTTTGGGGGGCAATACTCCCCGACCACTCTTCTGAAAGAAACACTGTATCTGGCCCATGATGGTGTTCTATAAACGAAATTTGGCCCTCAAGATGTATTAGATTGGCCAACGCTGATCTAGACAATCGGCTCAAAGATGGCGGTTAGGTTGTCAGCCTTACGCGCCGGCTGCGTTTTACCCCCCAGGAAAATTATTTGATTAAGTCCTGGTACTCATTTCTGTTAGAGGCTGAGTCGACCCCAGGGCCATAGTGCGGCCGGAAGGATTAGGTCTATTGAAAAAAATCCCATGACCTCATCGGGATTTGAACCCGCGACCTTCCGGCTTGTAGCACAGTGCCTCAACCAACTACGCTACTGTGTGTCCCCTCCATTGATTTTATTAATTTAATTAGTTCTCAATTATGAAATTCTCTCCCACTCCCTCTTGCTTCCACTTTCTTAGGTCTACATATACCCCTCAGTATTTCTGTCACCAAACAAGCTCCATCTAGTTTCCTGGTTTAGAATAACTGAGCACATTTCACACCCATATAACACAACGGATCAAATTATATTTGTATATATCATAATCTGTTGGTTTTTACATGGGGGCGCCAAGATAAAAGATTCTGAAACGAATGGTAGCACATATTCCCCGAGATTAATCTGCTCTTAACATCATCATGAATGTATGTTTCGTTTATTGGTATAGTTTCCAAATATTTAAAATTTGTCACATTACGTTTAATTAAGATAAACGTAACATCAGGAACAAGAATAATCCCACATAATTTAATACATCCTCAAGAATTATAACTAGAGAAACCTTTGCCTGCGAATCAAAGATCTAATTTGCCTACAGATGCAATAACATTACATGCTCTTTATCTTATATGCTGAAGTGCCAAAATTCATGGGATAGAACCTAGTATCGTTTAGGACCCCCTCTAGACCGGTGAAGTGCAGGAACTCATCATGACATCGATTCCAAAAGTGGATGGAAGACCTCTGGAGAGATGTTGAGCCATGCCGTCTCGATAGCCATCCACAACTCCCTGGTATTTGTAGGTGCAGGATTTTGGTGCGAATGGACCTCTCCACCACGTCCCATAAATCCTCGATTCGGTTCATGTCGGGCGAACATGGTGGCCACACCATTCGTTGGAACTCTCCAGAATGCTCCTCGAAACAATTCTGGACAACTCCAGCCCCGTTGTGGGGGTACATGAAGTCCATGAAAGGCTGTAAATGGTCACCAAGCAGTGTAACGTAGCGGTCACCGGTCAATGACATGTGTAGGTGGACGGGCGGACCCAACTCGTGCCACGTGAACACACCCCACACCAGTATGGAACCACCATCAGCCTGCACGGTGCCTTGTTGACAACTGGGTTCCATGGCCTCATGGGGTCTGCGCCAAACCCGAAACCTACCATCTGCCCAAAACAAATGGTACCGTGACTCATCGGACCACGCCACATGTTACCAGTCCTCCAGGGTCCAATTAGCAACGTCACAAGCCCAGGTGAGGCGCTGTGTCCGGTGTTGTAGTGTTAAACAAAGGCACTCTGGTCGGTCTTCTGCTCCCACATCCCATGGAAGCTAAAGAATGCTGCACTGGCTTGCTGGATATGCGTCTGGTAGCTCCTGCATTGAATGTGGATGTGATTTCAGACAGTGTCGCTTGTCTGTTACCACGGACAATTCTAGCTAGATGCCGCTGGTCATGATCATTAAGCACCCGTGGTCGGCCACTGCGCTGTCTACGGTGGGTGAAAATGCCTTCCACAAGGTATTCCCGGTACACACATGACACAGTGGATTGAGGAATGTTGAATGACCGCACAACTTCGGAAATGGACTGTCCCATCTGCCTGGCACCCACTATCATGCCCCATTCAAACTCCGATAATTCACGTCGGCTTGCCATGAGCAGACTGGCCGGTGTTCAATCTGACTCAAGAGAGAACACCTCACAACTGATACTGCTCTGGGCAGTCCCAAGCCGTCAAGGGACGGTGGCACCACTTAAAAATAAATTTACATACTACTATCCCATGACTTTTGGCACTTGAGTGCATATTAAATAATAACGTACCTTTTAAAAAATATATTCTGAGTATATGCATATGTTTAATCTGTATAAAGTATAACAACAAAGGAAATGATGATAACAATACTATGTGGACCTGCTGTAGACAGTACATCTGTATAGGTACCATGTGCATATTCTCACTCTACTGCATATAATTAAACCCATATGGAAAGAACAACACAACATATAAACTGAAAATTTTTCTGAACATTTCTCTTCTTGAAGAAAGCAGTCTTCTGGGATGTGGCGCTGTGTAGATATTGTGTTAACCGACGTTTCGGGGCAACGTATCGCCTCCATCTTCAGGTAGGAGACAAGAAGAAATCTGCGAGTGAACCAGAATGAGCAGGTGCAACAGACATGTCTGTTTCTTCTAGTCTTCTACCCTGAAGACGGAGACAACATCTCACAACCCTATGGGCCTCCACGGTCTGTTACAAGGATACCTTTACTTTTTTACTTTTTACTCCTACAGCATGGTGGCTAATATTTAAATCTTGAACAAAGAGCATGTAATTAAATCAAAATAAATTTCATACAACTTAAATTATCAGTTGTCTGAGAAAGTTACTATTTAAATGTGTTACTACAGATTTTCTTAAAAAATTAACACAACTAGGCAAGTACCATTATATTGAGATTACTACTGCCAATCCCAGAGCAAAATTACTTTTCCATTTCATTTTGATAAATACTCAACACATCAAAAGATGTTTTTAATATAAGGCGTACATCAGAATGTGGAATAATTTATGCTATGCACAAATTTCTTGTCTGACTAACTGGTTCTGAAGTTCATAAAGTTTCGTTTCAGCTTAATATAAAGAGAATTCAAGTCACTCTATAGCTTTCATTGTAAGGAGCAGGGACAGTGCAGTCGTTATAGCAACTGGCTATGGCCTGGATGACCGAGGTGTTGGAGTTGGAGTCCCTGACAGGGGCAAATTTTTTCTCTTCTCTACATGTTCCTGATCGGTTCTGGCGCACACACAGTCTACTAGCCATGTGTCCTTCGGTTCCTTCCTCCCCCCTGAGAGGGGGATTAAGCGGACGGGCCTCTGTGAAGCTGACCACTTATCTCCAACTAGTGCTGAGGTCAAAAATATCTGGGTCTATACATTCATCCCCCATACATCTTTATGGTGTAGTGCTTAATTAGTTAAGCACAGGGACAACTCTACCTATAGCTTACTATTTGGATTCTAACACTAAATTCTATTGAAATCCATTAATGATTCTGGAGATGAGACATGAAGATATATTGAAGGAAATGGCCTCCCCATAATGCATTTATTTTGTGTACTCTGTTCTGAGTGAAGATTGCATAAACATGGCTTCAGTTACATAGACATTAAATTAATACCAAAAGAAGTCCTTCTGTGAATGACATAATACTTCCTTGCTTACCAAATGGGTCGCATTCTCGGACACTTCCAAGGGCAAAATATTTATCCGCATAGACATAAATGATAAGTCTTATCTTAATATTCAATTTTTCAGTCAGGTCATGAGTAATTCTTTCCTCCTGCCAGGTATCCTGTAACATTGTAAATCAGTTCATAACCCATAACCTGTGCACATACTGCAGAATAGTCCTGTAATAATATAACTTTACAGAATGTGAAATACAGATTATATGAGTCCTACTGTTCCACACTTGCCTCTCTCAACTCTTAATGGATGCTACAAAAGTTTCTTCAAACATTCTTGTAAGATATATTTACAATTATATGAGGGTCAAATAAAATAACAAATGATACTGATCATAACTAAAGATATTCCTGTTATTCTTGTAATTAATCATCACCATCATCATCACCATCATCACCCCACAACCAACACAGCAACAAGAACAATCAAGAGAGCCCTTTATTAGCCTGATCCATTTCAAAGACTACGCTTCCATCAACTTCTCAGACGTGCAGCAATTTTTTATCTATTCTTTAACTTAGTGGGGTTGACGAAACTGCATCTCTGTAACGGTTGCATTGCAGTGAGACATTGACACCCATCCACTCATTCCCTGTGCCTTTTGCACATATGTTATGGTTCTGTTCAGTCCAACCACGTTTTTTTGCCACTATGAAGAATTTTTAACTACAATCTGTCCAGTCCATGGTAAAATAATCACTCATAAAACAAATTCTGTTCAAATTAGTTATGAATAAGAGAAGTCACAGTCTGAGGACAATTGACTAGCTCTCTTCAGATATTACATGAGAAAAACGAGTAATAAATTTCATTAGGTCATATCCTTGTTCTGCTACTCTCACTGTTTCACGCTAGTTAATTTAAAATGTCTACCTTGGTAACTTGATAATGTCATGCTTCCGTCTTCTGAAAGTTTATAAATTCTGTTCTTTGTCCAGAACAATGAAAATAATGAGCAAAAATTTACAAGAACCAGGGGTCATAGAAATACTCCTGAGATGAATACCCAAATATTTTCCTTCAAATATCAAGCTAAGTAGGTGCACAGAATTTACCAGTGACAGACACGTATATATGGTTGGCAAAGACCCTTGGTTTCCTTTATAACAGATGCCTATTCCTCTATACTATTTGTCTTTTGTCTCCATCTCTTCATTTCTGTCTCTCATGAATCATATCTTCATCTTCCAGCCTTCTCATTCTCGGTTGTCTACTACTTCAAAACATTGTGCTAGTCTAAAAGACTTGTTTATCATGGTCTTCTGTCATCACTATTAGCTGTTGTTATTGTTAACATGTATATGCATACGTATTTGCATTAGTATACATCATCAAGAACAAATGTAACTGCTGTGAAATCTATGTATAATTAGCAAAAGGCTGGCAGTACATCATTACTGTAATCAAAATGGAAAAGGACATCAAAGTCATTTTAAAAAATTCATTACCCAGCACTTACCAGAAACAAAGGAAATGTGTGCGTGATGCTCAGGTGTTTTGTGTTTGTGTGTGTGTGTGTGTGTGTGTGTGTGTGTGTGTGTGTGTGTGTGTGTGTGTGTATGTGCGTGTGCATACGTTTATGCAGACACATACATGCAAAAATTTCACATCACAGCAGGTCACCACTGAATGTCCCAGATACTCATCTCCATGACATCTCCCTACCACCACTTCCGCATACACCTCATCTCTACCTCCCCCTCCCTCCCTCCCTTGCATTGACTTTAATCTTACATCAAAAAATCAGCCGTTGTTTACATTCCCTACAGAACGGACAATACTTTGTAAGACAAGGCACCAACTAAATAGTAAATAAATAATGCACTATCTTCAATACCAAAATCAATTGTTGATTATAACAAAATTTAATACTATTATTTTCATGTCATTTCAGATTAACATTAATATTACTACATCTACACCACGAGCCTCCAATAACAGTTTTTATAAACAAAATATAGAATACTCCAATTTGTCCGTGGGAACATAACAAAATCACAGAACCCAATAACTGACTCAATGATGTAAAGCATCAATCGAAGAATTTTATTCTTGTTTTATACTATAACTTTTGTTTTATATAATCTAATTTATTGTATTTTTACATCAAGTATTTTAATATAATTAATATTTTGTATCCAATTTTGTTAGTACTGCAGTTCAGTGTGTATATATGTTAGCCATGTATTTGCCTGATGATGGCTATTAATAGCTGAAACATGTAGCAGAGCCAAAACCAGGCACTGACCTTGTTATAGTTGTGTTATGACGGTTTTAATAAAGAAGTTGTTACCAAAGTGGCAGATTTTACTGTCACCATTTAGTTTTATGTGTTAACTTTAAGCTTCAGCTGGTGCTGGAAAATTTCTTATGGATCTACTTGATTTTCATGTTCTTGCATTATTCGTCTCATGTATTTTAGCATGTATGACTTGTAGGTAGTGTTAATAGAGCTGTCTCCTAAACTAGAACATGTACAATTTAATGTTTCAATTTACACTAACCTTACTGGTAGTCAGATTTTTCACAAAGCTGGATTTGCTGTCACCTTCATATTGAATATAAAGCCCTGCAGCTGTGGATCCACTTACTGCAGGAGTAGGAGTGTAGTAGTGAAGGCTCACACACAGGCGTGATGAACGTGATTGGAACCATGGACTTCTCAGAGTTTCATTCTTTTTTACCACTCCATAGGTATCTGGCACAGAAATTTCAATTGAGACATTAAGTATCCAGATCCATGGAGAGAAGTGGAAGAGTATGGAAAAGTGTTTGAATTATCTCTTAAATGCTTGAACTCTTAAATTTCTACTTGTATATCCACAATCCATAGTTCAGCCTGTTAACTGAAGGTTATTATCCCTTGAAATCCAATCATTAATAAGGGTACAGAAACTTTATTCATGACTTGTTTGCTTATCCTTTGCACATTGAAAGACAGAAAAGCTTCTTTACTGCCTGTCTTAATGAAACTGCAATCAGCTGTGCAGCAATAAAAAACAGAGTTTGTGGTGATGCTGACTGGTACTACTGAATGAAGTTAAGAGTTCAGTAATCCTATTCTTTCAATAATATCTGTGTGTGCATGTGTGTGTGTGTGTGTGTGTGTATAGTGGGGAGGAGTGCATGCACTCTTGCAAGGATATGAGCATAAGAATAAATATGGGGAACAGGGTGCACTTATGTGTGAATATTGTAACTGTATTATTCCAGTGTTCACAAACTGTTTCATGACTCATGACTAGAGAACCAAACAAAAGACAAGTATAAAACTGTTACATCATCATCATCATCATCATCAGTAATCTGTCAGACGACAGGTCCACAGTCTCTTCCAAAACAATTCCTCCACTTAATGCGATCTAGAGCTTTCTCCTTCAAATGACAGTATCCTCTTCTGTCCCCAAGGTCATCCAGCATCTTCTTACGTCTTCTTCCTCGTCTTCTTGTCACTTCTATCCGCCCATCTATCTTTCCTTTGATAGCTTCTTTTAGAAGGCAGTTTCTGCGTAAAACATGACCAATCCAATTA